AGGGTTTCTGGCTGAGTGGCACTCCCGCTGTGGGAGCACACTGACCACCAGGGGACAGCTCCTGCATTGAGTGTCTTCCCCTTGGTGGTCAGTGCGCATCATAGTGACCTGTCATTCCATGATTCGGTTAATTTGCATGTTAGCCTTTTATTATATAGCACTAGTGGCCCAGTGCATGAAATTCATGCACGGGGGTGGGGGTGTCCCTCAGCCCAGACTGCACCCTCTGAGAGTGTCTGACTGCCGGTTTAGGCCTGATCCTACAGGTAGTCGGACATCCCTCTCACAATCCGGGACTGCTGGCTCCTAACCATTCACCTGCCTGCCTGCATGATCATCCCTAATCACTTTGTCTGTCAGCCTGATCTTCCCAACTGCCACCCTACAAGCCTGATCACCTCTAACTGCCCCCACCCACTGACCTGATCGCCCCTAAATACTCCCCACGTGCTGGCCTGATCGCCTCCAACTGCCCCCCGTGCCAGCCTGCTCACCCCAATGGCCCCCCTGCCAGTCTGCTTGCCCTGCCGCCTGGTGGCCCCCACCCCCCCCAACTGCCCCCTGCCAGCCTGATCGCCCCCAGCTGGCCCCTCCCTACCGGCCTGCTCTCCCCCAACTGCCCCCTCCCTGCCAGCCTGATCACTCCCAACTAACCTCCCCAGGCCTTATTGCCACCAACTACCCCTCCCTGCTGGCCTGCTCACACCAACTGCCTTCCCCTCCTGGCCTGATCACCCCTAACCACCTCTGCCTCAGCCTTGCCACCATGGCTTTGTCTGGAAGGTCTCCCAGAAGGTTTCCTGGTCTAATTAGCATATTACCCTTTTATTAGTATAGATTTTCTATGATGAATTTAGGTTTATTATTCTACTAGAAGCCCATTGCATAAAGATTTGCGCAATGGGCCTTCCTTCCCCTGGCTGCTGGCACCAGTTTTCCTCCGGCACCCAGGACCCAGGCCTTTGGTCCGGCAGCAGCAGAGAAGCCAAGCCTCTTTAGTCTTCAGTCTTCAGTCTTCGCTCTGGCCAAAGCCTTCAGTCTTCGCTCCACACCTGTGTATGCAAATTAACCGCCATATTTGTTGGGTTAATTTGCATAGTTGCTCTGATTGGTTGGTGGGTGTAGTGGAGTGACACCAATTTGCATGTTTCTCTTTTATTAGTGTAGATACAGTGAGCTATCATCTCTTTCTTGTATATGTGTGGCAATATTTTAAATTCCATTACCTTCTGGATTTAAATATTGCATCCAACATTAACTTGGAGGAAAACACACTAAGATATATTTTATGACAATTGTGTTTTGACTTCCCTATCAAAAACAAATCCAATTGTTGCACCATAAACATAGTCACTCCCCAAAAGAGTTTCTCAAAGCATTACATCCACCTACCCATACATTTAAGGCAATCACTTGTAAACATTGAGTAGGATAATTCAGTCAAGGAAGTGGTAAATATGAATCAGTCATACTTTACTACTCATTTAATGATTACATAATTTAAAAATTAATCTTAATATTGTATAAAAATGTCATCAAATACCAAAGATTAGTCTTGTTAATTAACATAAAATGTAATAAAATCAATGAAGCTATAAATGAGAAGCTGTCAAGACCTTTTATATGTGGTAGAAGTTAATGAGAGAAACCTGACGTGTGCATGTGTGTGTGCGCGCATGCGCAGTGAGTCAGACACATACAAAAAAGAGCTTCTAAATATTTTTTTAAAGTCCCGTTCTTTCATTTGAGGATCGTGCATTATTCTAATAAATCTAGATCTTTTATGGTAGCAAAGGGTCGCATTTTTATCGGTATGTAACTTTTATCTGGAGAGAGATTTGCTTATTTAAAAATATTTTTATTGATTTCAGAGAGGAAGGGAGAGGGAGAGATATATAGAAACATCAATGATGAGAAACTTTGATCAGCTGCCTCCTGCACACCTCCCCTGGGGATCAAACTCACAACCTGGGCATGTGCCTTGACTGGGAATCAAATCATAACCTCCTGGCTCATAGGTCAATGCTCAAGCACTGAGCCACACTGGTTGTGCTGGAGAGAGGTTTTAAAAATTAGAAGTGCTATGCTCTCACCCTCATAGGTTTTGACTCTATAAATCTAGGCATCTGTATTATTTTTATTGCCCAACATTGCACAGCCACTAGCTCAGAAGAATGATAAGAACTTATGGACTAGATATTTTAGGGACATCAATTTGCTTAGAATAAAAGATTATACATGATGGTAAGGAAGTAGCTCCTAGTTGGAGAACTTCTTTCTAACAAAGTGATGTATTAACAGAAGCATGAACGAAATGAGGCAGCTACTTCTGCCCCTATGTAAGGTGAGTATGCAATATGCACATTCCAAGAGCAGACACACAAGGACACAAGCCTGGATAGTAACATATTTGGCATGTTTGAGAAACAGCAGTGATCAGTGTGGCTAGAACAGGGTGGGTGAGGGTGAGAGTGGTAAAAGAATCATAGAGTTAATGAAGGGACATATCATAGGACTTTCTTTGCCATTAAAAGAACTTTGACTTATAGCCAAATGAGATGGGAAATTAGATTATTTTAAACAAAAGAAATGATCTGAGAAAGGGGTAAGTGAGGTGGGTAAGAATCAGTAAAAGATAATAAAATTAATGCAGTAGAGTCACAGCATGTTTGCAGACTTGTTAGAATTGTGGTACTGGGGGCAAACACTGAAAAGATAGGAGATGGTGTGCCTCTACTTTAAAAGAGTAGTATGAACCTGCTGTAGATTATTATAGGATGTAAAAGGATTTAACATTATTATCTTCGGTTTCAACTCTTTTGGAGAGTAGAAATTAGTACATATCATATTTTAGATACTAAGATTCTTGAAATTGAGATTATGAAGTGGTTATTTGTATGACCATATAAGTGGGTGGCTGAAGCAGGGTGTGGTGGACATGTTCTTAGGTGGAGAGAAGTCTGAAAGGTTTGGAGTAAAGGATCCATTGTGTGTATACTGACGGACATCACGGGAATGGTGACGAGCAATGGAGAGAAGTCACAGTGAGTGCGGAGGAGGGAGAGTCTTCTCTGGGCTCTAGGGGTAACTACAACCAAGAAGGTGGCAGGTGGTATAATCTGATGTCATGAGCTTCAAAATTAAGTTGAACTCGGGAAGAAGGAGAAACCATTATACAGAAATGACTGAGGTACAGAGTCTACCTCAACGCTAGGCTCAATAGTACCAGGGAAGCAGGTGAGAAAGATACCATGACTTTTAAGGAATGCAAAGGAACTAATGCCTTCAGGGAAGATCCAGCTTTCTCTTTCATTTAGAGCAAGAAGGTGAAGGGAGCCTTCATAATCACTTCCCATAGATACAGTTGAATATTAGTGTGACATTTTGAATTATTCCTACAACTGTGGCCCAATTAGTTCTGCCTAGCTGCTAGTACAACTGGCTTTCATTGTAATTGATAAAAAAAAAAAAAACTTAGTGAAGTGCTCCAAAATCTTCTAAGATCCTATACTTTTAAGTTTCTGACTTCTAAATTTATTCTATCTTCTATAATATTCTTCCAAACTCTAAAACTCATCATGTTCAGGGCTTCCTTGAACACATATGTTGCCATTGTGTTTTGTGGGTCCTCTGTACTGGAGCCTTGCAGAATGCACCCTTATTTGAGACCGACACAGATTCCATACATCCTCAGGTGGGTGCCCTTGAGCACATTGGTATATTTCTACTAAAGTTAAGTCTTGCTTTTAGTTTGGCCATACTTTCTTTTTTTATAACAAGACTTACTTTTAGTTCGGTCATACTTTCTTTTATGAAACCATTAACCCTCTTCAAATGCCCTAGCTTGACCTTTTAATTTGCTTTGTGTGGCATCTCTTTATGGTCTTTAAAAATTATGGTCTTTAAAATATTGGTCTTCCACTCTAGTGTCAGTGCCATGCTGAGCCCCACTGGAGCCTGAGGCAAAAGGAACTATCAGTAATATTGATCTTATCTTTACTTAACATTTTAATATTTTCATCATTGATTTTTTTGCATTAGTTTGCCCCAAAATGTTGCATTAAACACATTATTTATGTTGATTATTGAGGTTTTTTGGCACCCTCTAAAATTGTGTGCCTGAAATGAGTGTCTCCCTTGCCTTCCCTTATTCCTAACCTTGTCTAGTGGTTTAGATTGGAAATTACTGAGTATATGGTAAAGGAATTCATGGGGGAATAGAGCCAATATGAACTTAAGGTGAACTTAAAAGTTTTGCCTAAAGTTAAAAGAGTAGAAGACACAGGCAACGGATTCTACAGGAAGTGTTTTCAGTTGGGTAGTTCCGATCAGTATCTTACTTTGACCATGTAGTTGCAGGTGCAGTTATCATTACAATATTATGGCTTCTAATGTATGAAACAAAATGAAAATATGCTGGCCACTCACTCAAGTAGTAGTGACTCAACTCCTGGTTTAAGACTTGTAGAATTTAAGAAAAGTCCCATAATGGCCAGTGTAAAGACTCCAGACATTCCAACTAGCTCACCTATTTTTGAAAATAAATAAAAATAAAGTATTAATTTTATCAGGGATGAAAATATCTTGATAGTACAGTGACTGTACAGAGAGGCTATCAGACATGGTTTCAATTGCATAATACTAAAAATTGCTACCACCACCCATCATCCTTCTTCCTCCTCAGATGCACACCCAATTGTGTGGTAAAGTCTATACTAGATGTCCTTACACTGTTTTGGCTTCATATCATAGGCAACAATGTGGAGCTCACAAACTCTTCTTGGGCTTTAGTGAAGTTAGAGCATCAGCTACAGGTCTAATTTTTTCAGAGGGGCTCTGATGAAGGAAAGGGAAGTGAGCTGATAATTTCTTTATATACTAGCCTACTTCATATGCTTTCTTTTTGGGAGACAGTAAGAAATAGAAATGGTTTGATTTGGTGACAGGTCTAAGGGAGTTGGGTCAGTAGAAACCCAATATGAAACTACTTCCCCAGTTTAATTTTGTTTTGGTGCATTTACGATGGGAGACTAAAAAGCCTAAAGTACTGTAGCATATTCTAAAAATAGCTCTAGTAGAGTTATATCCCTCTCCAGTTTATGACAGTAGTATATTATCACTGCAAAGAATTCAAATAATATGGCACAGTATAAATTATATTTTTTTAAAAAACAGTACACCTGAATTCCACTGCCACAACCCTAGTTATAATTATAAAGTATTTTAAACTGGGATTTCTATTAGTGACAAGCCTATATTTGCCTAGAAGAAATAATTTGATAACTAATTGAGAATAGAGGATGAGACCCAAAGGGCAGCTTCAAAACTTAAAGGATGCTTAATGAATTTTTATGCTGGAGACAAGTGGTAAAAATTAAGCAGGAAACATGGAAAAGTTAGAAAATAAAGGTAGTGATTAGATTTCATTGAACTGTGAACTACATAATGTAACTTACCCTGTGAACTTTCCTTGTCCTCATCTTCAGTAAAGTTTACTATAAACCAGAAACTGTGGCATATTTAAGAAGAGGTAACAGAGATCATAAGAAAGATAACTCCAGAAATTTTTAGAAACCATAAGTTCATCTCTGGGTTTTTTTTTACAAGCTATAGAATTAGATATTTCATGTAATTGGATCAAGATCTTGGAGAAGAATGGAGTGCCCAGTGAACATTCATGGTGACATACATTCTCTCTCTCTCTCTCTCTCTCTCTCCTACAATGGGATTTTACAGTAATGTGGTTCTATATTTGGGCTTCTTTTTTTAACTTAATGTTTAGCAGACACTGTTCTGGTTAATAAAAAAGAATGATTTTTGTTTCACTATTGAAGAACATTGTGGATATGTCACTTTTATCTTATTGCCATATTTATCCAATTGTTATATGTGTACCTTCTGTTTCTTTGGTTTACTTTGTATTCCTTTGTTACAGCAGTTGTATTTTAATAACTGTAGGCTTATAAAGTGTTCGATCCCTACTTATTAGGGAAACATCTCCACTTACAATTATGTTTTTCCAACTCTCACTGTTAATATTTCCTGATAACCTCTTTAAATTGTTTTGTATAACTTCAAAATCAAAAAAGTGAAAATATGCTAGCCACCACATATTTCTGTCATTGCTTGATTCCAATACATTTTAATTCATTAAATCAGTATTATTCTTACTTTAGAGGTAGAAAATTGTAAGTTTTATAATTCTTTATTTTAGTTCTGGCTAGAAATAGTACCTAAGCCATAAAATAACACATTAGTCATTTTTGAATCCTGAAAAAAGAGGGATCTGTGGACATAGGTGCTTTAAGGCTCTCAAGTCTTGAACTAGTCATTGTAACTTATAATGCAATAGTAAAATTTGGAAAATATTTATGATTGAAGATACTAAAAATATAAACATTAAACCAGGACAGAGTGAAAGTCCTTTTACATTAGATTTATATTCACTCTCTTGTTTTCATACATTTTTTTCCTAGAATTGCTCTTTCTAAAATGTTTAGTGAGAGACATTTTGACTCAATGTTTATTATTTCCTGGGGGTATAACCCTTAATATTGAGGTTATGCTTGCTTACTAAATGGTGTTAGAGGAAATTATATTTGCTGGGATATATGTTTGCAAGAAATTAGGTATGTAAAATTTAAGTAGTATATGATAAAGGACTTGTACAGATTGATCATATTCTCATAATTAATTCATTAACTTGATCCTGTAACATCAATAGATTATAATTGGCTTTAATTCACTGAACAATTGGGAAAACTCAAAATCCTACATTCTGCCTTTCTTTCCTCAGACATGAAAATAAGAAATCCTGTTACATTAGCACTTTTAAAGTTTTTTCCTGTCTCAATTAATTCAAATTTTATACTCTCAGTAAACTTTTATAGTTTTCTGTTTAGGTCTAAATTTCTTGTAAGTTTATTTTTTGATATTCTATAAATATTTTTCCAATGTAAAGAGAATCAAATTTTCATTATGTTTTCTAACTAGTTACTGCTGACTTATAAGGACAGTACTGATTTTTTATATTAACTTCATACTACCTATTAAAAAGCATCAGTGACTTATTTTCTTTAAATTTCTATATAATCTAAAATGTTGCAACTACTATAACCATTTCTCTTTCAAAATATGTATAAATTGTATTCTTTTTATTTTATTTTATTAGCTAGAGCTTCCAGAATAACTTTTAATCTTGGATATGAGAATAGGCAACACTGTCTTATTCTTAAATGCAATGGAAGTACATAGTATATTCAGTTGTTGTCTAGGTATTGTCACATATGCCAACTTCAAATCATTTGTAGGGCCATCTGAAGAACTGGGTTGAACATGATTCTGAGGCTGTATCAGCAAATAGTGATATAGCTAATTACCAATACCTGCCATACTTCTATGAGAAGAAAGTGGTGATAAATGGATTAATAATAAATTTTATAATATGTAGCCTTACTTGATCTTTTTGATCTTTGAGATACCAAGAAAAGTATATTTAATGTCAGGCAGTGAGAATGATTAAGATCTTCCTTTTGTAGTTAGTATTTAATTGCATTGTGGATTTAGAATTTTATTGAAATGTTCTGTAGTCTAGTTTATTTCTGTAAATGGTCTACAGGTATATGTAAAGGATATGCATTATGTTTTAGAAAGGAAAACTCTACATATCTTATGAACCCTACATTTAAGTTTTTATTTAAATTATTTTTATAGCATACTAATTTTTTTCCAATTGGCTATGAAATTATCTGGGAAAGTCATGTTAGACTATCTCATCGTAATTAGGAGTTTTGTCAAATTCTCCTGCTTAATAATGGTATTGCCTTTATATATTTTGGCATATTGTTTTCTGTTGTATAGATACTAACATTTTTATCTCTTTTGATAGATTATTGTAACAAAAAGATTCCTTCTAGATAAGTTAAATTGTTTTAAACTAACTTTTACTTGGCATGCCTATTATGAATTTTTGATATCTTTATTTTTAATTTTTCTATGTGATTTAATTTTAGGGATAGGTTTCTCACTTACAAATAAAAAAGATGAGGTACAGATTTGAAAAGTTGAGACTTATATGGTTGATATCATCACCAAAAACAGTAGACATCCACAATTGAACCAGTTTTGCACATAAAATTCCAAACAAGAAACTTGATAGATAATATGACAATATTGGACTCACGATGCTACGTGCTGCAAGAAAGGGAGAAAATTAAAAAAATAGTTAATAGAACTTACTTAATTTTGTGTGATGATATGACTGAATTAGCTTTTCTTTTTGTCATTATCTTTAAAATAGCTCATTCATATTATGGAGGGTGTTTTCATATTTCTGCTCTCAAATTCTGAAAAGTCACACAAGTTTACAAGTCAGTCAGTTTAGTGTAAGAACTTCTTTCAGTCTCCGTTAAGCAATAAACATTTATTCAGTGCCAAACAGTACAATAAATTTTGGATATGTGATAATGTACAAGAGGTAGAAAGTCACTAAATTCATGTCATTTATATTCTAGATCCAACATAAGACACTGAGGAAATGCAGAATGAATTTCCTCCATTGTTCTCGCCTGCCAACTTATTGGTTCCTTACTGTTGGACACTTAATGTTTTCCAGTTTTCCCCCTCATACATAATGCTGCAGTGTATATTTCTGTACATAATTTAGTTTTACTTTTCTGATTACTTCCTTAGGCCCCAGAAGTGCAGTTATGTACTAAAGGATAGTTACATCTTTAATATTGCTATGTTTTGCCAAAGGACTTTATATGGTCATTATGACGCCCTCCCCTGAAAATTAGGAAGCCTAAGACTTTGACCTCCCTATACCCTGGGGGAGGGGGGAGTGTTTATTTCTATTTTGACTCATCATGCTGTATGTATTCATAATCAATGCCTAAAACTCAGAATTGAAGACTATTTTTCCCCAAGAAGGCCCATTTAGGGGACCATCATCCTCTCATGTCTTCTTCAAGGGGTCGGGTCCACATGGTGGACAATTATCCTACTTGGTCAAATGAAGCACTCACCTTTAGTTTTTCTCTGTATTCAATTAGTTTACCCAGACCATGGCAGCTTGGAATATCTGTGGTGAACCTAAAACTCCAATTTAGCACAAGAAGGTACACACCTTCTAAGATGCTAAGTGAAATAAGCCAGTCAGATAAAGACAAGTATCACATAATATTACTTATATGTGGAATCTAATGAACAAAATAAACTGACAGAGACATGGAAGCATGCAACAGACTGACATTTCTCAGAAGAAAGGGGTGAGGGGCAGGAAGAGATTAACCAAAGAATTTATATGCATAATCCATGGAAACAGACAATAGTGCAGTAAAGGCCTGGGGGTGGGGGGTAGAGAGAAGGGATGAGGGGGTCAATGAGGGAACAAAAAGGGACATCTGTAATACTTTCAACAATAAAGATAAATTAAAAAATAGGTCCTTACCTAAGGAATGGTTCATACTTTTCTGGTCGATGTTAAAATCCATGATACTAGTAAACATATTATAAGACATTATAGAGGTTATCAGACTTTCCCCATTAATTAAATTGATGAGGCCTCTAGAAAGACCTATGGAAGGAAAAAATATTTTAGGTGAAAAAAAATTTAGCAAGTAGAAAAATATTCTTAGCTATGGATATATATTGCATACTTTTCTACATACTTAAACTTTAGTCATGTTTGAAAACTCTCTTCAAGAAAAAGCAATGATATGTTAACTGTAAGTTAAGTCTAGACTATCACAAGTACCAAATTAACTGTGTTTGATTATGGTTGATGTAATTGAGATAATCAACCATAGCTCTCATTCCTTCTTTCAAAGTAGATGGAAATATGAAATTCATTATTTTTTTAATTCAGTGATTTGGCCTATATAAATACTTAGATCACGTATTTATGGCAACATAAAAAAAAACAATGACAAGATAAAGTAAATTCATAAACCAAGACTTTATAACATGGTACCTAGTGAAGAGTTAAGGCAATTGCCCAGATACTCTCACATTAACACAAATTGTCTGATTTTCCTATACATCCTTCTTAGTGGCTTTAGAAATCAAACTCCATGAATGGAGAGCACCTTGATATTATCTATTTTGATCCAAATTTTCCTTCATTTATTATTATATTCTAAGTTTAGATAGCCCTTAATTATCATTTTTCTGTGCTATTAAATGTGTCTATGGTGACAAAACTATTACTTGGGGCAACTTTGATGATTTTCCAAATTCCCACAGGAAGGAAACATTACATGGTAAAAGCCCTTCCTGTAGACCAACCACTCTATAGCTGTGATCACAACCCAATACAGTAAGTATGTTGTTGGAAGAGAATAAAAGCAAGGTAGTTTGTTCTTGTGGAAGCTCAATTGCTTTGATGGTTCACTTCTTCACCTATCCCTGCATTGACACCCTTTGCTGTAAGATTTTGCAGTTTCTCTCTTATAATGGACTGAAGAGATCCAGTCTGTTAGGTCATGTAATGATGCAAGCAGAGGCTTGAGAAAAATTTCTGCTTCCTCTCGTTTGGACTCCGTCACCTTCATGACAGCATTTCCTGGCTACAATATTAGAGGGATGTGAGAAATACTTGGAGGAAATGCAGATCACTTAGTGTCCAGATGACCCTCCAGCTGACAGCAGATTTATTATGAGCCTAGCTAAGATTAGCAGAGCCTAGCCCATATCATCAGAACTGCCAGACTCATGAGAAATAATACATAATTATTGTTTTAAGCCATGCTGTTTTGGAGTTGTTTATTACTCAGAAAAACCTGATAGTCTTGTATAATTATTTTATTTTATAGTTTTGAGCCTCTGTGGATCCCATAGGGCTATATTGCTTCTGCTGCAACATGGATGGACCTTGAGAACATTATGCAAAGTGAAATAAGTCAGACAGGAAAAGCTAACAACTGTATGATTTCACTCATATCCTATAAAATAAAAGCCTAATATGCTAATCCGGTTGTCCGGTCGTCTGTTTAACCAATCAAAGTGTAATATGCTAATGATATGCTAAGGCCACTCAACTGCTCGCCATTACGTGCACTGACCACCAGGGGCCAGATAGTCAACTGATCAACCAGTCGCTATGACATGCACTGACCACCAGGAGGCAGACAGTTGACCAGTCAACCACTTGCTATGACATGCACTGACCACCAAGGGGCAGACATTCTGACTGGTAGGTTAGCTTGCTGCTGGGGTCCGGCTGACTGGGATCGGGACTGAGCGAGATGGGCCAAACATGCCCTAGAACCCTCCCACAGCTCCCCTCTGGCTGGCCAACCTCCTGTGTCCCTCCCTGGCCCTGATCATGCACAGGTAGGGTCCCTTGACCTGGCCTGCACCCTCTGGCAATCTGGGACCGCTCAGAGAATGTCCGAGAGCTGGTTTCTGCCTGATCCCACTCAACACAGGAGCTGCCCCTCTGGTGGTCAGTGTGCTCCCACAGGGGGAGTGCCGCTCAGCCACAAGCCAGGTCTAAGCCAGCAGTCGGACATCCCCTGAGAGCTCCCAGACTGCGAGAGGGAGAAGGCCTGGCTGAGGGACCACGCTAGCCACCCTCCCCCCACTCCCCTGGTGCACGAATGTCATGCAGGTTACTAGTGTGGAGTATAAAACTGAAACTTATGAATACAAATAGCAGTGTTATGGTTGCCAGAGGGAGGAGGGTGGGGGGAGAAAGGGGTCCTAATATGAGGAAACAGGTGATTTGACTTTGGGTGGTGGGCACATGGCCCTATACTATACAGGTTTTGTAAATTAGTAATCCATACATGAAACCTATATGTCCATGATGACTAATATCACCCCAATAAAATTTAATTTAAAAAAAGAAAATAGAACTATAACAAAATGTGAATATTTGGAAATAAATAATAGACTTGGGGGGCATAAGAGGAATCAACAGACCAGAAAAAGCTCAAGACAATGTGAATGTACTCATGTGCTCTACTCATAAACCTGGACAGATTTTCTTTTTTTAAAGAATAAAATTTAAAAATTTAAAAGTCTTGCTTTTAAAACTCAGGCAAAAATATTTTCAAGAGAAAAATTATTTATTTTTTAAGAGGTATAATGTGAGGAGAAAAACAAAGTTCCAATAGTAATGGCAAGAGGGCTAAAATTTACAAAAATAACCCTGCAAATTAACCCAAAGAAATATTTTAAATTCAACAATGGCAAGCCAGGAAACTAGTGGAATACTAACTAGATTATCAGATGACAAAGTTAAGGGAAGTATGGAATGCTCTCAGGTAGAAAAGAACTCCCCCCAAATCTTTTGAGTAGAAAGAGGCTGACACTGACAGAGTCACATAGAGGCAAGGATAGTTTATAATGCTGGCACTTCCTTCTAGAGTCTACCTCACACTCTTAATCTCCTTGTTTTGAAGACTTGCTTCCTTTTATTCATATAGATACACTTGATGTGTCTCCCCTACTCTATTTCTCCCTGCCTCAGATAGCTCTTTCCTCTTTAACTGGCCATAAAATAAAAGAATAAGTGTGTGTGTGTGTGTGTGTGCGCACGTGCACGCGCGCACGTGTAGAACATATGTGCCTGCATGCACACATGCATGTGTGTGCCACATAAAAATTCTTTTTTAAAACAAATGCTCTAATTCTCATTATTAAAAAGTGGTGGGGGAAAAACAAATTAGGTTTTTGTTTTTCTTGAATAAGGCTCTCAGATTTTCAATGGATTACATTGATTTGGTATTTTACTTTTAAATATATATGTGTTCTCCAAAATAGTACACACTAAAATACTGTATGATTAGTGATTTTGTTGTTTTGTACTTCTCAGGCTTTTGGTTCAAATGATGACATTGACTCAAAAGGCATTTTTTTGTAATTGGCATTATTTTAATGGCAGTGTTTTCAAAGGAAAAAAGGTGTCATCAAATGTCACCAAAATATATATGCAATATTGTAAAGCCCCCAGAACTGTTCTGTTGGTACAAGGTAGAAGCATGTATAAAGTCAAGGATTCAAAATAACCCCCTGATCTACTTCATAATTGAATATAAGACTTTAAACCATATGTAATAAATAAGCCCGTCACTTGCATTTTATTCTGTTCTAAGCATCATCACCTAAATTTCTACGCTCAGTCCCAATGCCTCAGTGACACACTTCACATCATGAAAAGCAGTGAACAGATCTTAAAAATAGACAACTTAAATATAGAATATGATATTTTAAATATAGGAGAGGAGAAAAATATACCTACCAAGGTCTCTTATAGCAGCTGCAGTCAGCATGGGATCTGAACTCATAAGGATAGATGCAAATAATAACCATGGGGTGGTTCTCAAACGTAATTTATTCACAGATGTCAAATACCAAAGAATTAAGATATAATTGATACAACATCCAGGAATTGTAATTAAAATGATCTGAAAATAAATTTTACATATAGAAAAATTAGATAGACTTTTAAAAAGCAGACCAGCAGGATTATTAAAGATGTACAATCACATGCAACTCACCAACAGAAACTTTAAGTTATCTTATCTAACAACTATGTGCTTACAATTCTGGAAATAAAAGGCATATATTGCAATGAGATTCTTAGGACCTAAGGAATACTGCATTATAATTTAAAAAGAAACTTAATTTTCTTGATAAAGCTATTAAATATAGCTATGTATGTGTGAGGTATTATACAAACATACCCTAAATACATGCATACATATACATGCATACACATTTGACTATGCATAAAAATTGAAACATAGTCTATAACATAAAAAATGAGCACAAGTTAAAAAAAAAGGTGTCAAAAAGAGAAAAAAAGAGAGAAAATATGATAACAGAAAAAAATCTAGAGAAATAGCAGAGGTCTATAGACTATAGACAATTTAGAAAGAAAAATTCTGTTATTTTAGGGCTGAAAAACCTACCTACCTTCTGACTTCCCACCATCATCTTTTACTTTCCTATATTCTACCTGTGATGTCTACTTATCAACTTTATTCCCAAATGGACTTGGAAAAATGTGATTGTCCTGAAATTATGTATAACAATTTAGAACTGCACCCCATGTTCATTGAAGTATTATTTACAATACCCAAGACATGGAAGCAGCTTTAAATGTCCATCAATGGATGAATGTGAATGAGTAAAGAAAATGTGATATATATATATATATCACAATGAAGTATTATTTAGCCTTAACAAAAAGAAGGAAATATTGCCATTTGTGACAATATGGATAGACCTTTAGGGCATTATGCTAAGTAAAATAAGTCAGACAAAGAAACACAAATACCATATGAACTCACTCATGTGTGGACTCTAAAAGAAAAAAACAACAACTCATGAATATAGAGAACAGATGGATGGTTGTCAGAGGCTGAGGGAGGGGGGTTGATGAAATGGGCGAAGTGTTCAAAAAGTATAAACTTCCAATTATAAAATAAATAAATCATGGGGTGCAATATACAGTATGGTGGCTGTAGTTAATACTGCCACATCACATATTTATATGCTAATTAGACTTATTTTGATATGAAATCATTATGTTATATACCTGAAACTAATATAATGTTATATACATGTCAATTATCGCACTTAAAAATAATAAAATAAAAGAGCAATTATAATGATTTCATAATAATGTTGTGAAATGCTCTTACTGCCTTCTGATTACTTAGCTCTCTCACTTGTACAGAGACACTCATACAGAATCAATTGGGAAGTGAGCATCAAACTATAGCACAGGAGGCCTGGTGCAGGTGCTAGTGCTGAGTGATTTGGGTTATCATACATCTTTAACCCAATTTTAGAAGTGGCAGAACCATAATAGACTGTTTATGTGGCACTACTGAGAGGAATCTTCTCTGGATAAAGCTTGATGATAGCATCAGGATAGTGAGAGAAAATAAAGGCCCTGTAGAACAGTTACTTCTAGGGTGGGTAAGTTCTCATTTCCTAGGTTTTAGTGGCCAGAATTGTTATATTGCTAACTATTGTTTGGAGGAATACATTAAAATAGGCTCAGAGACAAGAGGACTGAGGCCCAAATCCTTGTCCTTCCACATAGCTGATGTTGATACCTCAATAAATCACATGGCGTGTTGTTTGCTAAAGTGGCAGCAGCAATTCTGCTTCCTGAAGCCATACCCTTGCGTGGTTATCTCTCACTCTGACTTTGAGTCAGTCGTGTGATTCATTTTGGCTAAAAGGAGTAAGAGCACACATGATGTAAGGAGAAACTTGAAAAGTACTAGCAAATTCCAGTTTTCCCTCTCCTGTTGATTGATGTCTGAGACTCTGTACCCACTGTGAAGAATCTATAATAATAAAAATGTAATATGCCAATTAGACCGGACAGCCAAACAACCTTCCAGATGTCATTCTGGACATCCTTCCAAATGAAGCCGTGGATGTGGAGGTGGGGGCTGAGGCAGAGGCAGTTAACGGTGATCAGGCAGGCAGGCAGAATGGTTAGGGGTGATTAGGCAGGCAGGTGAGTGGTTAGGGGCAATCAGGCAGGCAGGCAGAGAGGTTAGGGGCAATCAGGCAGGCAGGCAAGTGGTTAGGGGCCAGTGGTCCCAGATTTTGAGAGGGGTGCAGGCTCAGCTGTGGTACCCCACCTGGACATCCTCCAAGGGGTCCTGGATTGTGAGAGGGTGCAGGCTCAGCTGTGGTACCCCACCACCTGTGCACGAATTTTGTGCCCCGGGCCTCTAGTCCTGAAATAACCTCCTAGATCAGTGATGGCGAACCTTTTGAGCTCAGCATGTCAGCCTTTTGAAAAACCCTAACTTAACTCTGGTGCCATGTCACATATAGAAATTTTTTGATATTTTCAACCACAGTAAAACAAAGATTTATATTTGTGATATTTATTTTATATATTTAAATGCCATTTGACAAAGAAAAATCAACCAAAAAAATGAGTTCTCATGTCACCTCTGACACGCGTGTCATAGGTTCGCCATCACTGTCCTAGATGATGAGATAATGTGTGCCAGTGACTCCTATTGCCTAAATCCAACACTACTAGTACCAACCAACAGACACATAAGCAGGGCCCTTCAGCCATCTATCTCATCACTTTTATTAAAGTATTTAAAACATCACTTTTATTAATAAATTTATTTACTAGAACTAATAGATTTCACAATAGCTCTCTTATAGCATGGCAGAGTTAAAATCGTAACTGGTGTTAAGTCCTATCACTCATATTTTCAGGATTATTTTTTCTTCCATAATTTTTTCCCGAGTCTTCAGTAGACTAACCATTTGTCAAGATATAGCATATTCACTAAAATATAAAGTTTATTTTACTTCTTTTACACCTTGCACTTTTCCCTTTTCTTCTTTGTTTCTTAATTGTGAGGAAAATTTTTAAAAATGTAAACATAGATAAAATTTGGTGGCTCATTAATGAATGATATTATTGGAAAAGAATACTTTTTACCTGCCAAAATAACTTCTGGAACATGTAAACATCCATGTCAAATGCAACATTAAAGATAATTACTGGTGTAAATAAATAATAAAATAATTGTGAATCCATCCATTGTATGGCATGAGCATATCTTAGGACCTAATAATATAAAAATATGTCATTTTCTTATTTATCTATCCTTCTATTAGCATAGACTACATGTTAGATACTCTTATCTCCAACAAAAGAGGAAAACATACCTCATAATGTAATAAGTGCTAATGTCTTAACTCTGCCAGATTTTTATAATTTTCCATCAGATTATTATCAATTACAGTGGAAAGTTACTGCACATACCTATGTACATTTTATTTTTTTAACTAGAAAGTACATTACATGGCCACTAGAAATATCTAGGAGATTTTCAGGCATACAAGAGGAAGGAAGACATTTCAGACAGATGGATTATCATATATAAAACCCACAAAGGAGTAAGCAATCATATCAAATTCTAGAAACTACAAATAACTAGCCATGGCTTAAACAGAAAGTTGTGTGTGGAAGAATAGCAGTGTGTGGGAAGTTAATGCAGCTAATGAAAGAACTAATTTGTGTTGTTTATCACAAAATATTTAGTTGATATTTATGAATTTTATTCTGAGCACCCATTCCACATCCATTCCATAAGGAAATACTGAGCACCTACTGAGTTGGGTGAGATCTATGCATGTGGGAGCTGATTCTCGTTGTTTCTTGTGCTTCTCGGGTCTTATGAGTGGAGGCATTGGCTGCTTTTCATCCAGACTATCTTTTCCAGAATGTTTGAGTGAATAAAAAGTTTGGAAGATAGAGCAAGGTTTCTCTCCAGAGCAAGGGCCAGATTTACTATATTGGTCAGTGCACTAAAGATAATAACTCTTTAGGACAGGTGAGCTAACTGCGCATCATAAACTATTCAAGTTCTTGAAGCTCAGGTTTCTTCTCCTGTCATTCAACCCATTGTGCATGCAGGTTTCATCTGGCCCTCTTAGTTCTCTCTCTGGGAGCTGGGACTCATGGAACAGGCACAAGAAAATGCTGACATTCTGGCTTCTGCAGTTGCCCTGAGTGATAGAGTTCTTTTTAGCTGGTCCAGGAGTTGTATGGTTTTTACCAGGATCATGAAACTGTGGCAAGCTAACGTATTAGCTTGCAAGAAGAGTAAAGAATTATTGTCAAATAGTAAAGTTTATAGAAGTACTTAAGATTGAGTTTGATCAGTAGTGGGGATGGAGAATGGACCCCGGAGAGCCCCGTGCAGCCCTGCTAGCTTAGTTACCATCACATCAGTAGAAGAGCAGCAGCTGCCCAGCTATACAGCTGGCCCAGGTCACCATCACAGCAACCAAGAGCAGAGGAGTCGGGACCCAGCAGTCGCTCGCTCACTGCCCCCACCCCCTCAGCACTGCTGACACCAAGTCTGACACCACAGGGCAGTGGGGCAGGGAGCCCTGACCTGCACAGCCTCACATCAGTGGTGCCTGCGGGTGGGGACAAGAAGGGCTTCACAGGGAAGATTTGGGAACAGTGAAATGGTTCAATGTAAAAAATGAATATGGTTTCATCAACAGGAATGACCTTAAGGAAGACGTCTTTGTACATCAGACTGCCATAAAGCAGAATAATCCCAGGAAGTACCTTTGCAGTATAGGAGATGGAAAGACTGTGGAGTATGATGTTGTTGAAGAAAAGGATACAGGGTGGCAAATGCTACAGGCGCTGGTGGAGGAGTTCCAGTGCAAGGCCATAAATATGCAGCAGACTGGAACCATTACAGATACTACCCACCTGGCAGGGGTCCTCCACATAATTACCAGCAGAATTACCAGAAAAGTACGAGTGGGGAAAAGAATGAGGGATGAGTCAAGCTGGCGAGGCTCAGTGGTTGAGAGCATCAACCTATGAACCAGGAGGTCACGGTTCAATTCCTGGTCGGGCATATGCCTGGGTTTCTGGCTCCATCCCGTGTGGGGCACGTAGGAGTCAGCTGATCAATGATTCTCTCCCATCATTGATGTTTCTCTCTCTCTCCTTTATTCTCTGAAATCAATAAAAATATATTTTTTAAAAAAGAATGAGGGATGAGAGAGTGATCCTGAAGGCCAGGCCCAACAATGCCCACCCTCCCACTGGCCAGGGTTCCCACCTTACTCCCTGAGGAGACTCAATGGGTGATGACTACAGTATTGCAACCCTCCTGTGCAGGGAGAAATGACGGAGGGTGCTGATAACCAGGGTGTAGGGGAACAAGATAGACCAGTGAGACAGAATATATATTGGGGCTATAGCCCATGATTCCACAGGGACCCTCCTCACTAAAGACAGCCAAGAGAGGACGGCAATGAAACAGATAAGGAAAATCAAGGAGATGAGACCCAAGGTCAACAGCCACCTGAATGCCTCAATGTCGGTACTGACACAACTTCAATTACTGATGCAGAGGCGCAGAAATCCCTAAACTACAAGATGGCAAAGAGACAAAAGCAGCTGATCCACCAGCTGAGAATTCGTCCCCTCTGGAGGCTGATCAGGACCAGACAGAGTAAATGCAGGCTTATCATCTCTTCCAGACTATTTTTTCCAGAATATTTGAGTGAAATATTATAAGTTTTAGTCATCCAACAAGAAGAAATGAATATGAAATTCCAGCAGTAAGAAATGAACAAAAGGTTGGAGCTGAAGACCTTAAGTGCTTGCCTTTTGCCATTGAACAGATAACTAGAACTATTGCATTATCTATGCAGCAGGGGTTTTTATTATTTTTTCCTAAAGATGTCTCTTTTTGATGATGACAACATGTGATTTTTGTTGTTGTTGTTGTTTTTAAGCCTGTTTTTTTCTCTTTAAATGTTTTAAAATTGTTTCATATCTGGTCAGGTTGAGTTTTAAGAACCTCATTTTTAATTTGTAATAACGGTTTACAACTTGATCTTTTCAAAAAGTCAACAAACTTCCATAAAGGTCATAAATAATTGCACTTAAAATTGTTTTTGTATCAAAATCATATGCTTATAAAACCTATTCATGACAAATAAAGTAGTGATCTGCTTTTGTTCTTCCGTGAATATATGTTTTCCATAATTTTTTGTTTTACATCACTGGTTAAATTTGTTTGGGAAAGTCAATCATTTTCACACACATTCTCATTCATATTCTGACTGACTGAAGTAGGTGTTGGCAAAATATTGTCCCTAAGTCAAAATTTCTCAATGCCTGTTTTGTAACTAAAATCTTATTGGAATACAGTCATGCCAATTCACTTATACATTGTCTCCTGGGAGTACAGCTGCCTTTGAACTACAATGACAGATTTGAGTAGTTGTGACAGAGATTATATGGCCTGCATAATCTAAAATATTTACAATAGAAGAAATGAAATTGTAATTATTCGCAGATGACATAATATTGCACATAGAAAACCCTAAACACTCCATCAAAAAACTAATAAACTTAATAAATAAATTTGGCAATGTAGCAGGATACAAAGTTAACATCCAGAAGTCTATGGCTTTTTTATACACCAACAATGAACTCATAGAAAGAGGAACTAAAAACACAATCCCATTTACCATTGCAACAAAAAATTTAAGATACCTAGGAATAAACTTAACTAAGGAGGTAAAAGACCTGTACTCAGAAAACTACAGTACGTTGAAAAAAGAGATAAAGGAAGACATAAACAAACGGAACAATATACCATGTTCATAGATTTGTAAAATCAACATCATTAATATGTCCATACCCAAAGCAATCTATAGATTCCATGCAATCTCCATTAAAATACCAACAGCATACTTCATGGACCTAGAACAAACTCTCCAAAAACTCATATGGAATAAAAATAGATCCCTGAATAGCCACAGCAATCCTGAGAAAGGAAAACAAAGTTGGAGGGATCACAATACCAGATATCAAGCTATATTACCAAACCACGGTTCTCAAAACTGCCTGGTACTGACCCAA